TGAATCAGGACGTCTGTGTCGGTGGTAACATCCGTCAGGCAGAAAATATCGTCCACGTACCGACCGTAGAAGCTGAGGTCATTAATGGTGTCTTGTAAACTTGTCATCTCGACTTTGCCCATGAAGACATTTGCGAGGAATGAGCCGAGCGGTGAGCCCATCGCCACGCCGTCTATTTGCCTGTACAGTTGACCATTGCAGAGAAACTGGACGTTTTGCGTGCACCGCGTCAGAAGCTCTTTTAGCGTCTCCAACGGCATGCCTAACGGGTAGTTCGTGTCGCGGATAACGTCACAAAGGTAGTTTATTGTTTCGGCTACGGGTACATTAGTAAACAATGATGCTACGTCTAACGATAGCATCCTCCGTCCGTCAACGTTAATATCCTTTATCGCCTCGACAAACTCGAAGGTGTCCTTCAGACTTAGGGGATAAAAATGACTTTGCAGCGGTTTAAGCTTTTCGACTAGCCACTTTGCTATGGTGTGATAGGGCGAATTCCTCATATCCAGGATCGGACGTAGGTTCGTAGAATTCGTCACATTCCAAGAGATATATCGCCTTATACAGTCTGCTGAATACTATGTATACACAGGTACGTCAGCATGGTTTCCTGGCACTTTCTGGCGGAGCGGGATTTGAATTTTCATAGCCTATGCCGACATATCATTCTTGCACACTATCTAACTTAGAAAGCATATGTCTTACTGGTTTGGAATCCCAGTCCAAGTTGGCTGTTGTGGTTATTTGATGCGAATGTTAGAAATTGTCGATGTTAATTACAACTGGGCAAGTCGTATTTTTCGGCCTCGACTTGGAAACCATCCGGTACTAGGTGGAAACGCATTGTTTTTGATTAGATCGTTGCTTCTAGTCTTTTCGATCGTCGCTTACGACAATGTCCACCGTGTGGTAGGCGCAGGAAGGCGACTTGCGTAGCATCCGCCACACTCGCTCTTCTCTCACCCACCCATGCCCGCTGAAAAGAAGGAGTCCGGAGGACCGGAGGCGGAACCAGGCGGGTTTGGCCCTACTTGCGCCCTGGAAGTAGCAACTGAGCGCCAAACAAGGAGGGTGTGTATGAATGTGCATTGACCAACGGCGACTATTCAAGTTGGTAGGAAAAAAATCCAACACATGGTGCAGTTCGACATACAAGTGCCGTTAGCTACAGCCGTCATGCACATTAAAAGGGTCAAGGCTAGAGCTTTCGGTATATAGTCTGGCGGAAAATATTATTCCAAACAGTTCTCTAACCGAGGAATTTTATGCAAGTACGTACCAGTGTGTACTTTGTCCGCAAAGCTCATTAATATTTAAAGGTAAAACTACAAAACTTGCTTTTATCTGCCCTTTAGATTGACTTAAGTCGACTCCAATTGTACCTTATAAATGCAGTCCGTCGGCTAAGCCTCAGTTAACATTATTTTCTAACATAGCAGTTCCTTGGTAGAGGGACGCTCACCGATCGTTCTTACAGAGCTCACTCGTTCCATTGTGCCTTACGGGCACTCTATCTCTCAAGCCCAACCAGCACCCGCACAGCGGCGCATAATATAGGCAGAATGTTATTACCAAAAAAACCAAGGAGACTGGAATGGCCATTTCCGGCTTATTAGCCGTCTTCAGCCAGTCATGCCGAACCCCGAAGTGTGGAACACTCGAGGCTCGAACTCGCGACCTGTTAGTTCGAAGTCCAACGCCTCCAACCACTGGGCCACGGGCCCGTTGTCCTGTCGGTTTCGATCGGGAATATACAATGGTAGAAGGACGCTCACCGATCGTTCATACTGAACTCACTCGTTCCGTTGTGCCTTACGGGCTCTCTCTCGAGCCGTCGCCAGTCATTCATACCCAACCCCGAAGTGTGGAACACCTGGGACTAAAAAGTCAGAAATGGCCATTCCAGTCTACCTTGTCTTTGTCGGCAATAACATTCTGTCTATATCATGCGCCGCTGTGCGGCTGCTGGTTGGGCTTGAGAGAGAGAGAGCCCGTAAGGCAAAACGAAACGAGTGAGTTCCGTAAGAACGATCGGTGAGCGCCCCCTACCATTGTATATTCCCGATCGAAAACCGACAGGACAACGGGCTCGTGGCTCAGCGGTTAGAGGCGTGGACTTCTAACTAACAGGTCGCGAGTTCGAACCTCGGGTGTTCCAGTCTTCGGGGTTGGATATGATTGGCAGCAAGAAATGGCCATTCCAGTCTTACCTGTCTTTGTCGGTAACAACATTCTGCTATAGCAGTTCCCATATTGTTTGGGGGTAATACGGTTGCGATCCAGACAATGGCTTCTTTTAATCAGTTTCTCTGTGATGCAAAAAAAATTGTTCGAATATCTCCCTTGACTGACCGCATGGGATGGTGCCGGGGTTAAAATCACCTTCTACTCACGCAAATGATAATATTTAATGCCACGACCCCGTGTTAGACCAGAGGAAGCAGGAAGTTCTATTGACTGGGTTATGACCGTCAATCCTTGTATTTCATTAGACGGATTCGCAGACGGATTCGAGACCTTTTAAATTGGTTTTTATTACTCTTCAATGTGGTTTGTAGTAATAAGATGTGCCTGAGAAAATCAATCCCAAGAGGACAATGTATGAATTGTACTCGGTTTATGCCAAAAATAGGAGGCCTGTATTGGATATGCCACTGCAAGTCGAATACCGTTAGACCCTGATGTTTAAAATGTTACTCACTGCTCACTGCCCACACGCCCCTCGAAAAGTCGACCAAATGTCGTAGCGGGCATTTCAGCGTACTAGGCGTTCCCCCGGTTGGCCGACTGGTGTTCAGTTCTGAGGAAATTATGCTGCAGGACTTTGCGGGTTCTGTATTTTCTCATGGTAAAATAAAACAAGCAAAGACAGTATGATTTTCAAAATGACAAGTTAAAGGAACTGCGTCATCATCATCAGTCGAGGCGATGTAAGGTAGACTTGTTGAAAAAAATGGTGTTTAAACACCGTGAATGGAGTACTCATCCCTTCCCTTCTCCCCTGGCCGGAACTGGTCTCCCCCGCCGTAGGTCTGTGAGCAACAGAAGTCATAGGGGTTCATGACGGTTTCGCAGGTGGGCGCCAGCTTGGGGTCAAATGCGACATTTGCTGCCGTTGCGGCGGAGACGATGGTCTCTGCGAAGAGGTCGGCTTGGGTCCTGTTGCAGTCGGCTGCGGGGTCTCCGGGTGTCCTCTGAGCATGCATGCGAAAGGCGGACTTGGCGTTCTCTGTGGAGGTCTCAGAGGTGGGTCTACGACGGGGCTCCGTCGACGGAGCGGCATCAGAGAACTCTCCGTCGAGGTTGTAGGCGAAAGAGGTTAAGATGTGGCCGTCTGAGGCAGGGGTCTGTGGGAACCAGGCAGGTCGTGCGGCAGCCTCGTAGAGGGCTGGATTAGGGAGCCAAGGTGGTGCTTGTCGGTAGTCTGTGATGGAATCACACTGTTTAAAACTGTTTCGTATGCTGTCTGCCCCTTCCTTGAAGTCTGCAGATTCATCAAAGACAGTAAGTTAATTGCATTAAGGTCTGAATGAGTATTTCATAGCTTAAACAAGTCGCCCCTCCGTCTCAGTTTTAGATGCCTGAGTGTGTTTGGTGGGATCGTCAGTGTCAAGTACGGTCATATTTTTGAGGTTTCATTGAAAGGAACAGCATAAGAACCTGTACCATCGTCGACACATGCGAAAATGCGAGCTCCTGCAAAGTCCCGGAGTCGATTAATTACCACCGCAGTATCAACAGCCGATGATGAAATCGCAACGATTGCCGCTCATCAAACAATTAGAGAACGAAAGCAATCAACTGAATTTCCTTGATGTCCTTGACTGCCGCAAAGTTTGTGGTGGCCTAAAAACCACCGACGCAAGAACTGAACTTCAACAGCAACCGCCCAAGCAGTCACAAGCGTACTTGCATGTAGCAGAGGGGAATGGTGACTAAAATGCGGGTAGATTGGTACAGTATTGCTTTGCGCTGATTCTGCTTTTATTCAGCAGTTGCGTATATCGGCGAATTGCAACGCACTGCAAAGAACCAGAAGACAGGGTTGCCAAACTTCAGTATCTTCGACAGGTGCTCAGAGTAAATAGTTATCCGCTCAGCGTCGCTAACCGGTGCATACGTACCCGAGACGAGGGACCAAAATGCAATGACTTAAAATTTCGGAAGCCCTCAGCCGTTTTCTCGCGCCACTTGGGGTGGAATTACACGCAGACCGGAGCCAGGTAACAGGGCAGAAAGATCCATTGTTATGAGGAGAAACGTCTGCAGTCGTTTGTTTGATCTGGTACAGTTGCGGGCAAAGCAACTACTGGCGGAACACATGGCAATGGGGATAAATGACACCAGCTCTCCAGTCACAACTCAATCGACCGGACCCGTTCACACCTTTAAGATTGACTCGGAATCCAGAGGTTCTGGTGTGTTAAAGTATTTTGCCTAGCGGGGTGATCCTTAGGATGTTGGCTTCCCATTGACGAATAGATGAGGGAAAGTGGACTTGCCTGTAACATCTTTGTGCTGAAACTTTGCTCTGGTGTCATATTCATACTGGCAAAGCATAGGACCCAACACGCGGCTAAGATCTTGGCTTGGGAAGTGTTGCCGATAGAGATGAGTACCACTGGAGTGTTCATTTTCGGCTCAGTAACCGTCATCGGTCAGCGATATCTAGGCCTTAGGCCAGGCGAGGGAGATACCAACTACAGTCAGTTGTTAGCTAAGTATTTTTTAAGTCAAAACGCGATCTCATATGAGCCACGGGTCGGCGTCATGCCTAACGGTTCTAGAGTTGATGCATATTCGCACGACAGTTATGCGTATCGATCTATTCTCATCATATAGTGTCGAGTGTATGCGGCTACTTTGAGGAAGGATCTGTTATATTAGGTTGTATGAATATACAGAGAGTAATTATTGATCTCCCGGCGCTCTATAGACAATTTTGAGATTCAAAGCCCTCTGCACAGTATTCCGCCCCTTAGGGTTTGGGTTATTCAGATCGAGAAACAGTTTGATATGGCCTACGGTTTTTATAAATAACATCAAGTTTTACGTAGATTATGGAAATAGTAGGAACCCACGTTGGTGCATGTACCACTTTAAAACTCACAGTCAGGGAGTGAAGCTGAAACTGTGCTGAACGGCTGACGGTCCATCAGATTGAAACAGGTTAGCGCTTTCCCCTCCGGCTGGCGAAACGCAGGTATGCCGTCAAAATTGAAAGAATACCCGTGGAAGCTATCTTTTCCGGATGCTGAGGCCGAGTTCGGGGACGTCGTTGGGGTAACCAATCCCGAAGAAACTTCCTCCGAAGGACTTCCGCCTTCCTGATCTCTGTTCTTCCCGATACAGGCAGCTCCACTTTTAACCGCTCCGGCACCGAAGCTGCGGTATCTGCATCGACTCTTACGCCGTTTCGCATGGAAGGCATAATTATCTCTGGCTGACCAGCCCGGATAGAGACGCTGGTGGATCTCCTTCTCCCGACGGGCCATTTCGTAGAACTTGGCTTGCTCTTCACGTGGCAGAGCATGCCACTTTCGGCCGAGAATCTGGTTGATAGCGGCTGATTCCTTCATGGTGCACTCGGCCACTACTTTGGCGCGCATCTCCTTCATGAAGAGCATAAAGGCATTGAGGGGTTTCTTCACGTGGGCCATCTTATGCGCCGCGTCGCCTCTAGTTTTCGCCCGGTTTTGTTCATTGTTCAGTGGTACTCTCTGAAAAGTGGTCTCAGTATCCTTCCTGTAGGCGCCTGGAGACGCTGTACCACTGTTTAGGCAACCATCAGAGGCCTCGTTTGAATGGAAGAAGCTTTCCTCGCGGTCTTTGCCCGAATGGCTAATGAAAGCCTCGGTAGCGGTGGCTTGGGGAAAGTGTGATGTGTATCCGAAGGGGAATGGACGGACTAGAGAACTGGGTGCTGCAGAAATCGCCGAAAGGCCCACTAGAGGGTGCGGATAGATTGGTTGCTGCTGTGACCTCTGTTGCTGTTGCTGCTGGTCACGTTGAAGCCCCGGAAATGCGTCCGCCTTTGTCGGAAAGGCGTCTCGATAGTGAGGGAAGCCGAGGGCAGAGGCGCCGTTTGTCTCAGTGAGCCACATGGGTGGTCCCCTTCCGCGAGATGAGCTAAACCAAGGAGCATATAGTTTAAGTTGACTACCATAATTCCTAAGAGAACGTTACTGATGTGTTAGTCCATGTAAAACAGAATCTCGTTCTGAATGTGGATTTCTTATAACTGATTAGCCACCGCATTGTAATCAATGATGGTGCCAGATGATATTGCAACATGGAACAATAATGGGCTGTTCCAAAACATAAAAATCACCATAAAATTCGCTTGCTGCCTATACAGTACGTGACAGGTAATTCAGAATCTGTTTTTATGGACGATCAAGTGAAAACACTGAAAATCATGAAGTATTCAGCAATATTTCGCGGCCGATCTGAAACTCAACGCAATCCAAAACGAACGAAAAGTGTAAATTAATTTAACGAAAGAAAAGTTCTCTCTATAAATATTTAATGATGCGTTTACGATCACGCCTGTCAGTTCTATTTAAATTTATTAGGCACCGACCGACCTCATGGTATGTCGCCTTATGCACGCTTTTGTTCCTACGACGTCACCATCGGTACATTCAAGCAAAATCCAGTTTCTCTTGTTGAGACCCATCTCATTTAACTCAGAAGAGACAAGGATAACACGAAACCATGGAAAACTGTTTTGGAATCTACACTCAGAATGTAGGCAGTTGACAAACCGTCATATGTGAAATCACACTAATTATTAAACGATATTCAGTTGTAAACTTCACTGAAACACTATTATTAGACGTTATTTTATTTCTCCTTTCATATTTACTACGTTTTTGATATGGGAATACATGTAATACATCTAAAAACGAAGTTTACTAAATTAAGACCATTTCTGGCGTTTTCGGGATATTGCGCTTTTCTAAAATAAATCGACATTTCTAAACAACGCAACACTGCCTTTAGTATTTCTTTTATGTTCTTAATTCTTTAAAACATGTACTCAATTAACACAGACATTGGACTCATGAAATGCTGTCGGTTTACGAGTGATTGACGATCATTCGTAAATTTCAACACATTTAATGAGTTAGGTCACCAAGTGTATGAAAGCGTTATCTGCTTTGCATAGACAGGTGTGATTGGGAAGATTCCCAATCGAAAAGAAGCAGAACATCTTGCGGGGATTGGTATGCAAGCAATGCGCGAACCTGTCGACCAACTCCAAACAGTAATATCGAAGAGTAGAGGATAACAGCGGACACGGCCTCACACTGTGTGCTCCGCGTACCCGACTTACAAACATCAATCACAACCTTTGTCACACTCCCACTCCCCCCCCCCTGGTCCCAGTGATCATAGCACGCCGACCTCATCGTGAGGGTGGCGTGGGAATGATGCGTGTTAATGGCCCCTGAGTCGTTTATAAATGCTGTGCATTTTTAATATCTCCAAGGGTATATGTAACTGTACTGACCTGAAGATGAGTTACGGAAAACAGGTGTTTGCCAATTTGGCTTTTTAATTGTAACATGGAGCTATTAGCAGAACTGCAACAGATATTACTCTAGCCCTTAAGTAGGCATATGGCATCATGCCTCTTCCTGGCAAAAGTCAAACCTAGAATCTGGATCCTTGTAACTGTATGACTGGCGGGTGCAGCCGTGACTTTCGCTCTCCTAGTCCCAAGGTAGGAGGAAACATGGGCTTTCCAGTTTAGGTATAGTGAGAGGAAACGGACCCCCGTTGAGTTATGAGGGCTAGCGTTAAGGTTTGGGCCAAGTTGAGGACACGGAATAAGTACATCCTGATCAAGTAGCCCAAGTTCACCTCTAGTGCGGGGAGGTCCATATTCCAGTGTTCAGTCCAAGTTTGCTTTTATTGTATGCCTGCCGATTTCACTTGTCAGTATTACTTTTTCATTCGAAGGCTATCCACCCCTGTGATCCTACTCGATAACCCTTTAATGCCTGACGAATGATCAACAAGTCTAATCGTATAACTAAGTGGGGTTGCTTAATAGATGGCCGGTTATTCTGAACTCCCTAGTCGAGAGATCCATACATTAGTTTTTCGTTTTTGGCAGGGATATATTCCTGTTAACGCGCATTTATTAAAAGTGGGGGGGGGCTTTTAAATGCTCGGAAGATGCAGTAGGTGGGCTAACTCGTGAAATGTCAACCGAAATTCTGAAATGCGTTGTCATTCCGAAAAGATTAATTAAGTAGGGTTATAGAACTAATCAATCTGCAGTACAATTCTATAATAATGCAGTTACCTCAGGATGCCGGCTTTCGAACGAACTTCCATCCGGCTGCATATAAAACTGTACTTTGAAATAACTGACTACTTAAGTAGCATGCATTTTTTCTTTGATTTTCGATGCCCCTAAAAGTTCAATCACAGTTCTTGGAAAACATGAATAAAAATATTCATTCTTTTGCACATTCGGTAGAAAATTACGTCTTCTAATTCTATGCTCAAACGAGGGGTATAATTCAGTTTTTAAAAAGTTTCTAGTTGTGGGACTTTTAAATACCGGGAAATGGCCGTTCATAAATCGTCATGTCTCTGCATTTACCAATGTGGCTCGTAAAGTTAACAATATGGATCAATTCCACTGCTAAATTTTATGAAGCCTATCCGGTCCCCCTTTACTACCGTAGAGAAATCTGTGGTCTTCCGTACGCGGAAAATATACAGCTTGTAGTTTGGAAACCCTGAATCCAAATGTAACTGTAGAGCGGGTTCAAAATTATTCGGGAATTGGAAAAGTTTTTGAAAACCTAATAACACCCTTCCTTCGAGTATGAGATTGGAAGAAGACTTAATTATCTACCAAATGAGCAAAAGAATGAATATTTTTATTCATGCTTTCCAGGAAATATAATTGGACTTTTACGGGCATCGAAAATGAATGAGAAATCTCCATACTACGTAAGTAGTCATTTTTACAGAGTATAGTTTTGACATACAGCCGGAAGGAAGTTCTTTCGAAAGCCGGCATCCTGAGGTAACTAAAATAGTATAGAATTATGTTTTAGACTGACAAGTTTTACAACCCTACCTAATTAATCTTTTCGAAACGAAAACGTATTTCGGAATTTAAGTTGACATTTCATGAGTTAGCCCCACCTACTGTATGTTGCTGGTTTGATACAGCCTTTAATCCCTCAGCCTGGGACACTACCACTAACGTGTATTCGGAAGACTCATTTTATAGTTGGTGGGCCAACAGTGCTAAGTAAAACATACCATCACGTGTCAGGGACATTGTAATACCCAAGTTGATTGCATAGCCGCATACAGACGTTTGGATCCTAACGGGAGTTCCGAGCCAAAGATACTTTTGTCGGTTACACGGTGCTCAGCCCTCAGTAGTCGAGAGGTTGACAGACATTCCCATTCGCCACACGCTAAACGCTACGGCCAGAAATACCGCAAACTAGAAATTAGGTTCTGCTGGTGTATAGTTCAGCGCTTTGCTACTGAACCCTCGGATCCATGCTCTGTTGATTGCCAACGAGGAGTCGGTTTCAGCTATACTGCCTGACCTTACAATTATGGGATGCTCGTAGATACGCAACAGTCTTCATGCACTCTAGTCTGCATCCAGTCACAAAAGCAGGTTAGATCTTTAAAAGCCCCCTTGACATGATTCTGATTACTCCCGTTCACAGCTGAGAGGATGTGAATTTTTGTCTCGGTGGTAGAGGACTCAAGAGCACCTTACGTTGTCTACACGCGGTTTCGTATCTCAGGCCTCGCATTGGATGGGACCGACTGATGATCTAGAATAACCAGCAGATGGTCAATCCAGTCTCGCTTTTCCTCAAATATTCAGTTTTAATAGGTGTTTTGGCATATTTTGAATAATTCATTTTAACTCAGCTGTGGAATTCATATTGACTCAACTGTGAAAAACTCGGCGCGTCAGTGGGATTCGAACCCACGCGGTAAGGGGAAGGCTTTAGTACAGAAAACGCTCTAACCACTTGAGCTACGAAGCCCCGCTGGACTACGCGAAAACTCCGGCGGGGCCTCGTAGTTCAAGTGGTTAGAGCGTTGGCTGTACTAAAGCCTTCCCCTTACCGCGTGGGTTCGAATTCCACCGGAGCGCCGGGTTTTTCACAGTTGGGTTAATATGAATTATTCAAAATCTGCCAAAACATCTATCAATCAACTGTAGAAATCTCGGCGCCTCGGTGGAATTCGAACCCACGACAGCAAGGGGAAAGCTTTAGTCCAACCAACGCTCTAGCCACCTGAGCTAAGAGGCCCCACCGAGAGCAGTGGGTTTAATCACATTTGGGTCAAGTTAGGCGTCCACACTGCGGCAACGTATGAAATCCATCAAATCTGACAGTAAGCTAACTGCCCTAAGTAATTCTCCACTTTGGATTGCGAAGCATGTGGATAGACTGAGCATAGAGTCCAACCAGAAGAAAAGAGGGAACTTACTAATTCCCACCACAGTACTCAGTCTTCTGCTTGCCTAAAAGGTAGTCGTCGGCGCCGGACGCATCCACTTGCAAGTACTGATCAGCCCTCATACTCAACCCTTGCGCCACACAGTCTGCAAAGGGCATGTCACTGTTCACCGAAGGCTGCACGGACAGTCCCCCCGCGAACCTATCCAGCGTAGAGATGTCGACTTGGCTGACATTGGAGTTCAGTGGAAAGACCTGTCTGCCTACTGTCTCCTTGGATTCTGACTTTGAGGAAGAGCAGGGACAGGCGAGTGATGACGTCGAGAAGGCGCTGCCGGCCGCTGGGAAGTAGCCCGTGGTAGAGGAGGACATGTAGGCGGCTGCGACTGCGGCCACTGCAGCCGCTGCGGAGAAGGAGCTGATGGGTGATTGGGAGGGGTTCTGAAGGCTGCCGTATTCCATCGAGGACAGCCTGCCGCCGAGGGCCTGTCGTTCAAACAGCCGCGACGTACTGTGACCCTCAGACAGGAGGTTAAAGTCGGGACAGGCGTGGGCGTCCCGGCTAGAGGAGGCGCATCCTCTCAGGGCAAGACTGCCGCTATTCATTGGATCCTGCAAGACGCACTCGGAGGATGCGGAGGAGGAGGATGATGTGGTGAAGGTGGGAACACACTGAAGGAGCGCATTAGCATGCAGTTCATTGGGAATATAGGAGCAGTCATAGGGCTGCTCAGTACCGCTCCCAGAATTGCTCCATTCGGTAGACGGGAAACCATGCGATTCTGGAAGGAAGAAGTAGGCTTCTTAAGTTATTGCCAACTCGTTTGACCTGTTCGTCATCGTCAACTAGTTGTACCTCAACTCGGGACGGCAAGACCAGGTGTCTTATCCTGCCTTTGGATGCTTACTCGGCTTGGCGCTCTGACGCTTCTCTCTTCAGTCAAAACTGTAGGCCTTCAAGGCCTCTTGCAAGTGGTGATGCCCGCATGCGGTCTGTCCAGGCTTATAAGCATCGTTTAGACGACCTGCTTGTCGATGAAGTCTGTGGCTAATAACGCACCTCAGAGCCAAAATTTCCAGTTTGCCGGGGATGCGTGTTGCCTGGACTCTGACCATGATGCAGTCCGTTATAGTATTCATTTCGTCAACCAGGTTCACAGAATGAGCCAGAAAAAAGCTGTCTGCCTAGTTGTTTCAAAGAAAAGCACTTCCAGCAGTCTTCTGTTTCACGCACTCGCCCATTTGTCGAACCCGATCCGTGCCTCTGCGGAAAATCTTTAACTATAGCCAATATTAACGGAATAACCGATTTTGAAAAAGCCCATTATGATATCCTTACGATAGTTTGAACGTCGTTGCCGACGATGTCCACTGTGTGCTAAACAACAAGGTGATAGCAGGGACGGTGATTTGTGCGTGATTTGGTTCATAGTGAATGTAGACCTGCACAGCGTCTACCGCACTCACTCCTCCTCCCCACCTGGACCCTCTGTTAAGCCAGAGTCAAGAAGACCGGAGGCGGGGAAGGACGCAGGTGGATGGCACAGTCGATCCCGCATCTTGGCGTTCCACCCCAAACCCCCTGGTCCACACAGCAAATGACCAGGTTTTTGAACAAGAACAAGAATGGAGAGGGGGCGACAGAGGTCTCAGTGTGCGCGACGTCTGCTGGCAACCGGATCTGCCACCGCACACAGAAAGGTTAGTATTCGTTATGGTGTGCAATCCGATAACGCCTGCCAGGATCCGATATGGCCCCCGTGTTGGTCCAGCGTATCTACCACGTGGCCCGTTTGGTCGGCACAATATCCTTTCACTGCAAGGGTGACAACATTTCAAATACCATTAAGCGGCGATTGAGATGCTCCATTGAAAGAACATACAACGCAGCCGAACTCATATTCAGCAGTTCCACTAAGGCCATCCCGGTTCCACGGGCAAAGGATGTTTTGCCATTGCACACCACCTCAAATTGTGTTCATGAATTCACGTGAAGTTGTGGATCCAAGTACCTTTGGCGAATGCAAAGGCAACTGGCACCCAGGTCAATTGAGCACATGTTTAAGTTACTTTTAATGCGAAAAATATAGACTTTATCGCTCTTCTCTCACGAAACACCTTGATAGCGGTCACTCCGATGGCCCCAAAACATCCCCCCTGAGTACTTGTTTGGGCACGAACAACTCAGGCATTGCATTACTTGGAAGCAGCCTACATATGACCGGAGAAACACGAGCTATGTTTGCCTGTCCTTAGATTTACACAGCCTCTTTTTACATGTTGACTGCCCACATTTCCCTCCCTAAATGGCGTTTTAAGTTGCCACTCTCACTAATTAATTTACACGCGCTAAGCAATGACCTTGCTACTACGTAATTATTTACCGTACTGACCGCACAGGTACTAGCTAAAAGCCCAGGCAAGCATGTTTCGACGATCTTGTGGCGTTGTCTGACGCAGCTGCGAGGGGCTCGGCTCTCCGTGTGTTTTACTGGTATATGAACATCAATCTCATTCTGCCTTCTTTGATTTCTGGGAAATCGATGCGCAAACGTGGAGCAAGATCTTCGGAACAGATCTTTTCAGGCTAGTCCGAGTTTTCGGCTAGTGTCTATGATGTCAGTATGGTAAGCAATTACGTAGTTGTATACTATTTGGCTGCCTTTTGGCGGTTCGTGAATAGTACGCTGTTAGTCCGCAGTAGCTGATGGATTTCAGCTCAGATATTCATATAACCTTTCAGACCGGACCTGAACGGGTCTGTTCCGAAGAATTTTCTCCAAGTTCGCGCATTAATTTCCTCGGAAATTAAAGAAGGTAGAATGACCTTGCTGTTTTATATTGACTTTTCTGTGCAAATTCGAATGGCTGTATACTTCTTATTCGTTATCCGTGTTATGCAGCGAGAGGTTGTAGTTGATAAACTACCGCGCAAGTTATTGGTACCAATAAATTCTGCTGTGTAGGGCTGCTTTAAAGTCTCCAACTGAAAAACACCCCACTTTGACTGCAGTCGTCGGACGTCCTTTACGCGAGATCAGAAATATCACTTTAAAGGCTTATTTCTAAATACTCTTCCTTTAGGACGAAATTGACGCCAACAGCCCCGTCCCCCAATCCCCAGAAATTATCCAATTTTTTACGAGCTGGAGATAGATCTACGGTTAGAATTGGAGCCAAGGTTAAATTAAGGAATAGGGCCATGATTAGGTTAATGGTCGACATTAGGCTCAGGCGAGGGAGGAGAGAGTGTGTTAGATGCAGCGCAAGCCTACTGACGCCATAAACTCCCTCGCAAGTCACCGTCCCTGCTCCCACCACCTGCTGTAGGGCACACGGTGGACATCGTCGAAATCGAAGGTTGAACTTTCGGTTGACATTAGAGTTACGCATAACAGCTAGGGCTGGGTAGGAGATTTGTGATTAAAGTTTGAATATGATTTACTGTTAGAGCTGGGATTAGACTGCGCTGTCTTATGTTCGGGATCTTGTTTGTGTTCGAAAATGAGAACCTGAGTGGGCAACTTGTAAAGGAGAGAGAAGGGATCAACGATTGTCTCTAACACCTTATTTCGAATGGTGAACATATCAGGACGGTTGCTGTCTGCAGAGACCTGATCCTGACCTGCGTGTGTGTTCAGAGATGTAAAGTGAGCATAGTATGGGCCGAATCATTCCCAGAAAGGAGATGACACAAAACAATGCAACAATGCAAGTGGGTTCATTCTACCGAACAAACTTACCCGGTACAAACTGTGTGCTCCGGTTTAGGCTCGGTGTCATGGGGTCTCCCTTTTTAGATTTCATGCAGCCCACAAGCACACATGGTACTTTACGTTTCGGGTTCGACGAAGGCCACCTTCATCATCATCCTTCTCCTCCTCCTTCCATCCTCGTCTCCAATCAATGAATAGTTAAAACGAGGGGGCGGAATAGCTGGCTAGGCACTTTGTACCCATTTTTCTTGTACCCCTCACGCCACACTAACGAGATTTCAGTTACCCAGATCTTGATAGTACTTGTAGGGCAACTTTATGAAGGTGTCACAGCAACCTGAACTTTGGCCAAGCAAGCTCATGTCACGACTTTGGTTCAGTTGTTGGAGGGAATTTCCGGAATCACTGCGCAACCCACTTTTATGGAACGAGTGTTAACAAATTCAGAACCTGGATATTAGTAGTTTGCTCGTATGGAGTAATGTTTGCTATCTGCTGGGTGAATTGATCTGACGTTTCCTGCCACAACGGAACATGTACTCCCCGAAATCCGATCGGTGAACGCCTATCTGCAAAAATCAATATTCCCAATCACAACTGGCAAGACAACGGGTCCGTGGCTCAATGGTAGAATGTTAAACTCCATGACCAAAGATCCCGGGTTCGAATCTCAAGTGATCCACACTTCGGGGTTTGGTATGACTGGCTGATGACGGACAATAAACCAGAAATGGCCATTCAGGTCTCCCTTGTCTTTGTCCGCACCATCTCACATAAAAGGCTCTCAAGATTAAGCAGTCAGTAGCAGTGTCAGGTTATTCTACATTTTGGTGGTCACTTGGCATAGCTTGTTGAATGCCTGGTAGGAGAAATAGGATCTATCCTGTCGTCTGAAACACTACAGAACTCTTCATCCAAAGCAGAAAACTCTGAGGTTAGAGAAGGAAGCCGGTCGCAGGTAGACTGAAAGCAGACTCTAGACAAATATGTGCGTGTGTGTGCCCACCAACGACCAGATTCTGGGAGCTTCAATCAGCAGATATGGCATCCCGTATTCCAGAAAAGGCTTTAACCCCAGACGGAATAAAAATCTTTACTTATTAATTACTGTAATATAGGGGTTTACCGATCAGGATATTGGATATGCTCGGCCAGTTTTGCGTTGCGACTCACGTTAGAGCCCTTGTAAGCAGTCGTAAATGAGCTACTAGTGATACACAAAGGGATTGAACTGACATATGTGACGCCTTAAACGGGACAGGGGAATAGGTACACCCCACCCAAGTAATAAAGGTGGACCTTCGCATAATTCCTAAAAGTGAAAAATATTCCCGTGTCCTAACCCCAAAATAACCCTAACCCTACCCCAAATCCCGACTCCGCCGTCAACACTAGCATTTACCTTAACTCCAAACTTGACTTTGAATCTAGCCCTAAACCTGATCCTTACCGTAACCCTAATCTTAACCTTAAACCTAGCCCTAATTTCCCTGGAAGTTGGCTTAAAGTCACCCGTATTTTAGACGGTTCCTGCTCTCATGTCCTGTCTAGGGGGCCACATAAGTCAGTCCTACCCAGAAAGGCATATCGACGAAGAGGAGGGGACTGGCACGGCTCATGGGTCGATCCCTAAGCGCTGGACTTGTAAAGGTTCCATAACAAAAGAGTCCGGGCCTGAATCTCATATCCTGCAAACCCGGGATTGGGTATGGCTGGCGGACGACGGCTAGCGGACCTGAAATGGCCATCCCAGCGCCCTATTTCTTTCTCGGCTCTCTTTCCTAATTTACTAATGCCATGTTAGACAGGCCATTGGAAATTAACCAGAATTCGAGTTCAGTCAGGTCTCACCTTAGTCAAATCCTTGGCGTAAAGGCTACTTGCCCTGTTTGATTTCCAAGGAAATTAATGCGCGAATTTGGAGCAAATCTTTCGAAACAGACCTTTTCAGGCACGGTCCAGAGTTTGATGTGAATATTTCAGCTGAACTCAATCAGCTACTGCGGAATAACCGCTTAATATTCACAAACCGCCAACAGGCAGCCAGTAGTATAGAACTGGACTTTTATCTAATACCTGTGTTTTCAATACGGTAAATCCTTGGCATAAAGGCTACTGTCAGTCTGGATTCACCAGTTTTCTTCGAAGTCTACGGAGTTCTGACGACATTATTTGTATGAACTCTCAACGCTAAGAGGTTCTCTGAACGACGCTGCTGGACTACTGCGCGTGACAGCATGATCCCAGCGCGGTTCTAGTCACCTCGAAATGCTTTTAGCAACTTACAACACCCTCAATCTGTGAAGTACTTGTGGAGCAGAAAGTTTCTTTGCGCTTTAAAAAAGCTTCGAAAAACCCTCCAGCTACGGTAGATGTTCCTCAAAGCATTATATATTTGTGAAATACTTTGCGCCTAAATTTCGAATATTTTATCTATAGGAGTTTTCGAAGTATCATTTCTTGATGCCTTAAGGCTGCCAAAACATTTGTGTTGGTGGATTGTGTAGGTTTGCTGCAAAGGGGTATTCTTCCTGAACCTCATAAAATGCAACGTCGGGAGGACAGGGCCATTAAAAATCAAACAGGGCGCAGGGATATTGTTTAAAAACGTTGGAAGTTAGCACTGCAAGCTTTTCCACAAGTTACCACACAGTAAATAAACGAAAAGAAACAACTAATTGCTGGGTGTCGAGAGGTCTTCGATGGAAAGCCAACCGGATTCCACTTAAATTTATATGGCCCCCAATACAGAACATGAGAATAGGAACCGCTTTCAATACGGGTGGCTTTAAGCCAACTTCCAGTGAAATTAGGGCTAGGTTTAAGGTTAGGGTTGGGGTTAA